CATTCACCACGACCATGTAGGCTTCATCCCAAGCAGGCAGTAGTGGACCAATATATGAAAATCGATCAATATAATCCATCATATAAAAAAATCTGAAGAAGGAAAACCACATGATCATCTCCTTAGATGCCAAATGCATTTGAAATAATCCAACACACATTCACTTTTAAAGTCTTGGAGAGGTCAGGGATACAAGACACATACCTAAACATAATAAAGACAATATACAGCAAGCCTATGGCCACCATAAACCTAAATGGAGAGAAACTTAAATCACTCCCACTAAAATCCGGGATGAGGCAATGCTGCCCAATCTCTCCATGTCTCTTCAACATCAGTCCTTGAAGTCCTAGCTAGAGCAGTAAAACAACTAAAGGAGATCAAGGGGATACGAATCAGAATGGAAGAAGTCAAAGTATCACTATTTGCAGATGATATGAAAATAGTATATATGAGTGACCCCAAAAATTCAACAAGAGAGCTCCTTCAGCAGATAAACACCGTCAGCAAAGTGGCCAGATACAAAATCCACTCAAAAAAATCTGTAGCCCTTCTGTATATGAAAGACAAAAAGGCTGAGAAAAATGTTAGGGAAACATCACCCTTTACAATAGGCACAAATAACATAAAATACATTGTTGTGATTCTAACCAAGCAAGTGAAAGACCTGTTTGAAAAAATAAATCAAGTCTTTGAAGAAAGAAATTGAAGATATCAGAAGGTGGAAAGAACTCCCATGCTCATGAATATGAAAGATTAACATAGCGAAATTGGCCATCCAGCCAAAAGCAATCTATAGATTCAAAACAGTTCCCAGCAAAATATTAACACAATTTTTAATAGATCTTGAAAGAACAATTCTCAATTTCATATGGAAAAACAAACAAACAAACAAACAAACAAAACAGAATTGCTAAAACATTCCTGTATAACGAAAAATTGTCTCAAGGTATCACCATCCCTGATCTCAACCTGTACTACAGAGCAGTAGTAATAAAAACTGCATGATATAGGCATAGAAAGATAATAGTGGAACAATATAATCTAATAGAAGAACCAGAAATAGACCACATACCTACAGATACTTGATTTTTGACAAAGAAGCCAAAGCCTTACAATGGAAAAAAAAAAAAAAAGACAGCATCTTCAACAAATGGTGTTTGCCTAGCTGAATGTCTACATGTAAAAAAATGCAAATAGACCCATATTTATCACCCTGCACAAAATTGAAGTCCAAGAGGATCAAAGACTACAACATAAAACCAGACACACTAAATCTGTTAGAAGAAAAAGCAGGAAAGAGCCTAGAACTCACTGGCACAGGAGACAACTTCCTGAAAAGGCCACCAACAGCACAGGCTCTAATATCAACAATCAATAAATAGGACCTCATGAAACTGAAAATCTTCTATAAAGCAAAGAACACTGTCAACAGAACAAAACAACAGCCTATATATTGGGAAAGGATCTTCACCGACCCTATATCTGACAAAGGGCTGATATCCAGAATATATAAAGAACTTAAGTTAAACATAAACAAACGAAGTAATCCAATTTTTAAAATGGAGTACAGAACTAAACAGATAATTATCAATAAAAAAATTTAATGGGAGAGAAACACTTAAAGAAATGCTCAACATCCTTAGTCATCAGGGAAATGTTTATCAAAACATCCCTGAGACTTCACCTTACACCTCATCAGAATGGTTAAGATCAAAAACTCAAGTGACAACACATGCTGGAGAGGATGTGGAGAAATGGGAATCCTCCTCCACTGCTGGTGGGAATGTCAACATGTACAACCACTTTGGAAATCATTCTGGTGCTTTCTCAGACAATTAGGAATACTTTCTCAAACAATTAGGAATTGCTTCCTCAAATCCAGCTATAGCAATCCTAAGCATATATCCAAAATATGCTCAAGTATACAACAAGGACATTGCTCAACCATATTCATAGTAGATTTATTTATAATAGTCAGAATCTGGAAACCTCCCAGATGCCCCTCAACTGAGGAATGGATACAGAAATTGTGGTATATTTACATAACAGAATACTACTCATCAGTCAAAAACAAGGAAATCATGAAATTTGCAGGTAAATTTTGGGAACTAGAAAAGATCATCCTGAGTGAGATATCCCAGAAGCAGAAAGACACACATGGTATATAATCACTTATAAGTGGACTTTAGACTTAAAATATAGTATAAATATACCAAAATAGTACAACTTAAGAAGCTAAGGAAGAAGGAGGACCATGGGTAAGATGATCAATCCTCACTCAGAGAGGCAATTGGGACAGACATTGGAATAGGGAGAAAACAAGGAACAGGACAAGAGCCTACCACAGAAGGCCTTTGAAATACTCCACCCAGCAGGGTATCCAAGCAAATGCTGGGACTCATAGCCAAACTTTTGGCAGAGTGCACCGAATCTTATGAAAGAAGAGGGAGATTGAACTATCTGGAGGGACAGGAGCTCCACAAGGAAAGCAACAGACCAAAAAAAAAAAAAAAAGTCATGGCCCAGGGGTCTTTTCTGAGACTGATACTCCAATCAAGGACCATGTATGGTATTAACCTTTAACCACTGCACAGATGTAGCCCAAGGCAGCTCAGTCTCTAAGTAGGTTCCCTAGTAATGAGAACAGGGGCTGTCTCTGACATGAACTCAGTGGCTGGCTCTTTGATCAACTCTACCTGTGGGTAGAACAGCATTACCAGGCCACAGAGGAGGACATTGCAACCAGTCTTGATGAGCCCTGATAGGCTAGGGTCATCAAGAGGAGGAAGAACCTCCTCTACCAGTGGACTTGGGGAGGGCCATGGGAGGAGATGACAAGGGTGATTGGGATTGGGGGGGAATGAGGGAGGAGGCTACAGCTGAGATACAAAGTGAACAAACTGTAATTAATATAAAAAACAGAAAAAAATAAAAATGAAGTATTTAGGCTAATCAATGTAGCTATAAGAAGGCAATAATGTACTAGATGATAAATCTGCCAGAGAAAAGATAGGTGTTTTGGTTCATTGTTAAATATCAAGCATTTGTGGGAGTGGGCTAGTATATCACAATAAGTGGTCCTAATTTAAAACCAAGTTATTAGAGCTCTCAGGTGAGAAAAAAAAATCCCTGTTTAATGTGACCAAATTCTTCATAAAAATGAGTTCAATAAATGTTTGGTGGCTTCTACAATGAGAATACTGCCTAATTCATTTATTCCAATGCTGACAAGGCATACACATCACTGTGTCAGGTTATTGTGTGGTTTGTAATGTTTATAAGATGCCTGTTCTCTCAACCCCAGGAGATGAAATTCCTCAGGGACTGAGTTTTGATTCAGCTAAGATTTCCACTTAAGCTTTCCCATTCCATTTTATATAATTTCTTTGGATTTCTGGATCTTAATAGCAGGAGCTTTAGGACTGTTTTGAGTCTGCCTGTAAGATGAGTGTTTTTATGTATGCAGATGGAATATTTTTACAAGTACACCTATCTTCAAATTTTCTTATTTGAAAATTCAACTAAAACACACAAATTGAAACACATGTGCACTCCTGAAAACAATTTTGGTAGAAATGATTTTATTTTATAAGATCAAAACTTCTAAATAGAGGCCTAATTACTTCAGTTTTTAAAAAGTTGGGCTTAATAAGTAAGGAATCAGTAAATAAGTAAGGAATCAGTACATATTTAATAAGACAGGAGCAAACCATTTGTTCTTACTTTCATTTATGATATTTAATTAACAATGTACTTGTATTTTTAAATATAATTCACAATTTATTTGAATATAAAAACTAATAGCAACTATACTACAACCCGATACTTTAAATTTGTAGTGTTTCCAATAGGTAGCAACATATTTCTAAGGTTGTGGTTTTATCTCAGTGTTCTCTCTGGCAAGGACAAAATAATGAGAAGTGGTTTTGATAAGTGAAGATGCCAAAATAAGCTTGATTATGTTTTAAGTAATTCATGTAAGCAGATAATAGATAATATTCAAGTAGTCTACTTTAAGACAGAAAATCAATTTTGTAATTCTTCTCTTGGAAATGAATTTTTTATAATTATAAATTAATTTTAAAGGTGTTTTGAGCATTTGCTCTAATTAATGTTAACAAAGAATAGCTATATTTCTTTTCACTCATTTCATATATAGAGGAATGTAGTTGGATCCTAAAAGATTTTCTTTCCAGTGCTAAGAATGAAGTGCAAGGCCTGTGCATGCTGCATAAACCCTCTATTACTGAGCTACAATTATAGGCACTGAATAGGATAAAGCCAAAACATATTTTTGCTCAGTGGCAAGTGTACATGTGTAATTAAAATATATCTTATAATTATTAGAATATAGTGTTCTTCACATACAGTATCTCCTAATTTCATTGATTAGCTAAATATAGTAAACACACATGGTATGAGTGGCTGTGTGACTATATAATCTGAGGATTCTAAATTTTCTCCTTAGATTATTATCTCAAAGTCAGTTTCTCACCAATTTATTCTTTTCTCCCTTCTCATTATTTTCTTCCCCTCAATCCCTGAATTTGTTCTTCTCTTTGTTGGTGTTAAGTACCAAGCTTAATGAATGCCACAGGTAAAATGAAATTAATTTCATAAACTGCTTGTGAGGTTAGAAGCAGATCCATCCCCAGATGAATCTCTGAGGAGAAGCCAGTCTTAATCTGTTCATTCCCTCAATATTTTATAAACCATAAATAAAGGGCTAAATATGATGGACCAGATCTATAACTCACAGAGACTGAGACAAAAACAGTCATGGAAATTCCATGAAACATCTACATACAACCACCATAAAATTTATCTACAAATTATGGGTACTCTTTTAGTATTTTAGAAAAAAACTCCTTCCCTTGGAATCTGAGGACTAGAAACATGAATGTTTTTAGAGTCCAAGTTACTCCAAGTTGCCTTTACTGGTAACTCTCCTATGCAACCCATAATGGAAGAACTTCAGAGCACAATTTGGGTCTTACCAGTTTGTTGCTCAGGATGATGGCACAATAGCGAATATGCATGTCAAAGGGAAGATAGTAAATCTCCAGGCTTGAGGATCCTTTTGCTTCCATGAAAATTGTATGCACTGGACAGAAGAATTCTTTGATGTAGTTAGACTTAATTGCTATGAAAACATGACACAGAGAGAATTGATAAATAATATATTATTCAAACAAAGCATTGTTCCAATAAATAATATTTTAGGAAGTATAAAGTGTTGAAAACATTATATAATACAATGTTAGAAGATATTACATATGTTTTAATAAGAAACTACTGGTAACTTGATCTCAAGCTTGACATAATAAAATATATATATATCTGCTCTACAATTAAGATTTTTTAATAAAGAATCTCATAAAAGGAGGCCTCATTACTATTTAAATTTAATACATATATTCATATATGTATTGAAATGGTCACTCTTGAATGTCCAAATTTGATTACTTGTGAAGAAATTCACATAACAAAATAAGATGAAAACTATGAGTTTGAAATCACTATAGACACAAGAAAGTTATTCCTATTTCTTTTTTAGTAGTATTAAAACAACTTGATCAATTCCTCAAATTCCACTAGAATGAAGTGATATGATAAGCCAACTTTAGTTACAACATTTGAACAAATGCTGTGTGCTAAACAGCAGCACAGGAGTGCCATGACTTATGATACTATATGAGGAAACATGTGCCTAATGCTTTCTCTTTGCTCTTTTAAAAGCCAGCTACTATTCTATGAGAAGCCTGAGCTATATGGAGATCTGACTTCTAAGATTCTAAGCCAACAGCTCCAGATCAGACACCAGGGGGAGGCATTATTAAGCAAAAGACACAAGAATAAAACAGCTTTGAAATATTCCAAGTTCCACCTTTCATCTGATTATAAATGCTTGAGAGAGCATGAGTTAAAAGTCATGCAAGTGAGCCCAGTCATTCCAGAAATATAAGACCAAAGAGCTACATCTGATTTTATGTTGCTTATGTGCCACTGTGAATATCATGCTTTGTTTTGTGGCGATGGTTGACCAGAACATCTCTATGATCAGTTTCCTGTTCATCATTCTACCATTTAATTTTTTTTTCACAACACATTCTAAATCTTAATAAGTACAATGTTCAAACAGTAAGCTTTTTATCTATATAAAAAGTCAAATTGGAATTCTTTGAAGCCATCTTTGTGTAATTTTGCCCACCTTTTTGAAACCTGTATTCAGTTAATAATACTAACTGAAAAGCAGTATTTTTACAATTCTAGTCTTAATAATACCTTGATTTAAAGAGTTAGATTTAAAGAATTCAATAAAATTAAAAAATAACTTAAAGACCACAGATTTAAACATGTTCCCCATATGCTAGTGGAAACAGACTCAGTAGTAAAAGAAAAGATAGGGGAAGAGTCTTCAAACAGGTACTCAAGAAAAACCTCAGACAACCAACAAGTAAATCTCCATCTGGCCATAAATCTCTAGAGGTTTCTAGTCTATCGCCATAACCACCCTTGATGAATATTTCAGTTTAGTTATTCTTCACATAAAAAACAGTTCAAAGAAAAAAACAGAAACATTTCACTGAGATACTCACAGGTTCTTATGCCTTTGTCTGCATGGAAAGAACTCCTATCACTATCATAATTATTACTCATTTCTTGACTGTCAGAAGAAAAGAGGGAAAGAATGACAACAGTATATAACACATTTTTCTTTAAAAATTTTATTCTCTATTTTGTTAAAGATAATAGATAATTAATAATTATAATGATCTATAATATATCATTAGTATTTAAAAACTCAAAAATTAGAAAAAAACACACAAAAAATGAAATTTTGGTGTTTCCATCATTTCATGGTATTGGGATCTCCTTGTGTAGCCCTTGTTATCCTAAAAATCATTAGATAAATAAAGATGATGTGGAACTCACAGAGACCTGCCTCTCTTTGGCTCCTGAGTGCTAGAATTAGAGGTATGTGCCAAAATGTCTCACCTAATTTATTAATATTAGTGAAACAGTCCTGTTTTACTTTTAAATGGTGATTCAAAAATAGTGTGCATCTTAGGAATAAACAGAAATTCTCTCCCAAAGTGACTGTAGAAAGAACTTGCTTTCCAGAAAAAAACAAAAACAAATACAAAAAAAAAAATACAACTCTAACTCATTTCCATGTTTGTTCTGTTATTATAAAAGTAGGATACATGAAACTTTGAAATTTCTAGCTGCAGTTCTGGAAATAACAGAGCAGACCACAATCTGAGACAACTGCCTCCTTTCCTACATTATACCAGATGCATAATTTTCACCCATTTTATTGTTTGTGATTACTTTGATCACTAAGCTATCAATCAATATTTATTAATTACATATGCACACCTAAATCTGACCATGAAAAATTCTATTTCTAAGTAAAGTTATCAAATATAACTCCATTCCCTTTTATTCCATTTGAATATTATGAATTATACTTTCTTAGCAACATATTCTTGTTCATGTTTTTCCCACTTTTATAATTATTCTGTGCTTTAATTCTAGTAATACATATTTTGGTACAAAATTTGAGTACTGTAATACCTTTTGCTAAAAAGTAAGGGAAATTTAATATTTTGTGTAATTTGAGCATTTGATAGACACTTTAATTTTAGACTGCCATGTATATATAGCTTGATATACTTGGTATAATAGCTTGATACACTTACATGTAAAAATAGAAACCATACACAGATTAGAAAGAATAATAAAGACTGAATCTTATTTCTTCATATATGGCTCCATTGTCATCTCTTTGATAATGGAGACATGAAAATGACTGATTAAAACCCACAAATAATCTACAAGTTCATTTTGTGATATCTGTAATCTCTCATCTTTAATCTATTTTGTTATTTACTTTTTTATTTTTTAACTTTTATTAATTATACTTTATTCATTTTGTATCCCCCATAAGTCCCTCCCTCCTCCCCTCCCGGTCCCACCCTCCTCTCCTTTTTTGTTATATTGCATAAAAAAGTTTATGGATCTGGACTTCATAGCCCTCTTGTGGTTTTAGTCAGAAACAGATAGTAAAATATCCTTTGGAGAAATCTGAATGTTACCTCTTCCCTAAAGGATATTCTTAAACTCAGATAAGTTAAGAGCTGTTACTGTTTATAAAAATGACAAAAAAAAAAACATTGTGAATTTAGGAACCTGTATCATATTCTTTGAAACAAAGTATTATAGAAATCTGAAAATAATTTAGTTAAAATTGTATGATTTGTAAAAACTCTATTATGCTTAATGTTCATGAGTCTAGAAATTCAGTGACAAATACCACTCTTTATAGCTCAAAGAAAAAAGAAATGGTATATCACCTGTGTTTTTGTTACTACTGATATTCTATCCTGTTGAAATTTTTCTAGATATTCTCAGAGGCCTACTTCAGCTGTTTCATGAGGATATATTGAAACCTTTCTAGTCTTAGGGAACAAAGAGTCAAAAGAAGTTAAACTGTTTACAGATTCTGGATCAAATATATTTCTTGTTAATTCATTAAGGAATAAAAGTGAGGGAATGAAAATTATTTTTTATTCTTTATTAATTACACTTTATTTACTTTGTATCCTCCTTGTGGTTCCCTCCCTCCTCCCGTCCCAATCCCTCTCTTCCTCCACCCTTGGCAAGCATGCCCCTCCTCAAGTCCACTGATAGGGGAGGTCCTCTTTTCCTTCCTTCTGATCCTAGTCAATTAGGTCTCATTAGGAGTGGCTGCATTGTCTTCTTCTGTGGCCTGATAAGGCTACTCCCCCCTCAGAGGGAGGTAATTAAAGAGCAGGCCAATCAGTTCATGTCAGAGACAGCCCCTGTTCCTATTACTATGGAACCCACTTGAATACTGAACTGCCTTGGGCTACATCTGTGCAGGGGTCTTAGGTTTTTAATCTTTTAAAATTATTATAATTTATTACAATTTATTCAATTTGTATTCCAGCTATGGCTCCCTCCATTGTCTCCTCCTAATCCCAAACTCCCTCTGTCTTCTTTCCTTATTATTCCAGCTATTTGGTGATATAGATATAAATTCTAAATTCATGAAGCTTGCAGTCTCCAGTGGAATACACTCTATGAGGAATAATGATAAAGCTGAATGGCAAACACCTAGAATCATTTTCAGCCTAAATACATATATACATATATATATATATACACACATATGAATATTTCCGCGGCTTTTATAGACAATTGATTGGCATATTTGTGTTTCATTACTCCTTTCCTGGCTATAAAAATTGCATCTGCAAATTTCTTTTCTCTTGATCTTGATGTGTATATGAAAGATTTCCCATTCCTTTAGACTCTAACTAGAGTGATATTACCTGTCAATTAAATCTCTATTTCAGGTCTCAATATGTATGTAACAAGCAAAAATCAAGTAGTATATATTGCATATTCTCCAATACACCAGATAATAACATTGCTTATACAAAAAAAAAAATCACAGGTATACTTTTACATAACATATAAGAATGAGTACATTTATCTCACTTATGAACATTGACCCAAAAAATCTCAATAAAAAACTCCAAAACGAATCCAAGAACATATTAAAGATATCATCCACCACAACCAAGTAGGCTTTATCACAGGCATGCAGGGGTAGTTCAACATATGAAAAACCATTGATGTAGTCCACTATATAAACAAACTGAATAAAAAAAAAACATTATCATCTCCTTAGATGTCGAAAAATCATTTGACAAAATTCAACACCTGTTAATGTTTAAAGATTTGGAGACATCAGGGACGAAGAAACATACCTGAACAAAGTAAAAACAATAAAAACAATATACAGCAAGCCTAGAATCAACACCAAACTAAACGGAGAGAAACATAAATCAATCCAACTGAAATCAGTGACAAGGCAAGGCTCCCCACTCACTCCATATCTCTTAACACAGTACTTGAAGTCCTAGCTAGAGCACTAAGACAACCAAATGAGATCAAGGGGATATAAATTGGAAAGGAAGAGATCCAACTTTCACTATTGTCAGATGATATGATAGAACACATGAGCGACCCCAAAAATTCAACCAAAGAACTCCTTCAGCTGATAAAAAAACTTCAGCAAATGGCTGGATACAAAATTAACTCAAAAAAATCAGAAGACCTGCATACGAAAGACTAAAGGGTTGAGAAGGAAATTAGGGAAACAACACCCTTCACAATAGCCACTAATACCATAAAGTACCTTGGTGTGACTCTAATCAAACAAGTGAAAGACCTGTTTGAAAAAAAAACTTCAAGTCTCTGAAGAAAGAAATTGAAGAAGATATCAGAAGATGGAAAGATCTCCCATGCTCATGGATTGGCAAGATTAACATAATGAAAATGGCTATCCTGCTAAAAGCAATCTACAGATTCAATGCAATTACATCAAAATACCAACAAAATTCTTCACAGACCTTGAAAGAACAATTTTTAATTTCATATGGAAAATCAAAAAACTTAGAATTGCTAAAACAATCCTATACAACAACATATCATCTGGAGATATCTCCATCCCTCAAGTACCTCAAGCTGTACTACAAAGAAATAGTAGTAAAAAAACCTGCATGGTTCCTGGCATAGAAACAGAGTGGTGGATCAATGGATTTGAATAGGAGACCCCAAAATAAAACCACACACCTATGAATACTTAATTTTTGACAAAGAAGTCAAAACCTTACAATGGAAAAAAAAAGACAGCATCTTCAACAAATGCTGCTTGTCAAACTGGATGTCCACATGTAGAAAAATGCAAATAGATCCATGCTTATTACCCTACACAAAACTAAAATCCAAGTGGATCAAAGACCTCAACAAAAAAATCAGACACTATAAATCCGTTAGAAGAAAAATTGAGGAAGAGCCTAGAACTCATTGACACAGGAGATAACTTCCTGAACACAAAACCAACAGCACAAGCTCTAAGATCAACAATCAATACATGGGACCTCATGAAACTGAAAAGCTTCTGTAAAGCAAAGGGCACTGCCATCAGAACAAAACGACTGCCTACAGACTGGGAAAGAATCATCACCAACCCTTTACCTGACAGAGGGCTGATATCCAGAACTAAAGAAGTTAAAAAGCAATAAGTCAAGCAATCCAATTAAAAAATATGGTACGGAGCTAAATAGAGAATTCTCTGTAGAGGAATATCGAATGGCAGAGAAACATTTAAGAAATGATCAACGTCCTTAGTCATAAGGGAAATGCAAATCAAAACGACCCTGAGATTTCACCTTACACCCATCAGAATGGCCAAGAAGAAAAACTCAAGTGACAACACATCCTGGAGAGGTTGTGAAGAAAAGGAACACTCCTCCATTGCTGATGGGAATGTAAATTTGTACAACCACTTTGTAAATCAATCTGGTGCTTTCTCAGACAATGAGGAATAGTGCTTCCTCAAGATCCAGCTATAACACTCCTAGGCATATATTCAAAAGATGTTCAAGAACACAACAAGGACATTTTCTCAACCATGTTTGTAGCAGCTTTATTTGTAATAGCCAGAACCTGGAAACAACCCAGATGTCCATCAATGGAGGAATGGATACAGAAATTGTGGTACATTTACACAATGGAATATTACTCAGCAATTAAAAACAAGGAAATCCCTGTTTTCTCCTTCTTCTGATGCCCATCATCTTTGCCTTTCTGGATGCGGACTGAGCATTTTAGGTAGAGTCCTTCCTCTTGATTAGTTTCTTTAGGTGTACAGATTTTAGTAGGTTTATCCTATATTATATGTCTATACGAGTGAGTTTATACCATGTGTGTCTTTCTGCTTCTGGGATAGCTCACTCAGGATCATCTTTTCCACTTCCCACCATTTACCTGCAAATTGCATGATTTCCTTGTTTTTTTTTTTTTTCTGAGTAGTACTCCATTGTGTAGATGTACCATACTTTCTCTATCCATTCCTCAGATGAGGAGCATCTTGGTTGTTTCCAGCTTCTAGCTAATATTAATAAAGCTGCTACAAACATGGTTGATCAAATATCCTTATCGTGTACTTGAGCCTCTTTTAGATACATGCCTAGAAGTAGTATAGCTGGATATGGAGGAAGCACTATTCTTAATTGTCTGAGAAAGCACCAGATTGATTTCCAGAATGGTTGTACAAATTTACATTCCCACCAGCAGTGTCCCTGCAGACTATCAAAGCAGATGCTGAGACTTATGGCCAAACTTTGAGCAGAATGCAGGGAATCTTATGAAAGAAGTGGGAAATAATAAGATCTGGAGAGGACAGAAGCCCCACAAGGAGAGCAACCGAACCAAAAATATCTGAGCACAGGGGTCATCCCATTTGACTGATACTCCAACCAAGTAACATGCATGGAGATAACCTAGAACCCCTGCACAGATGAAGCCCATGACAGTTCAGTCTCCAAGTGGGTTCGATAGTAATTGGAACAGGGACTGTCTCTGACATGAACTGATTGGCCTTCTCTTTGATCACCTCCCCCTGAGGGGGGAGCAGCCTTACCAGGCCACAGAGGAAGACAATGTAGCCACTCCTGATGAGACATAACAGACTAGGATCAGAAGGAAGGAAAAGATGACCTCCCCTGCCAGTGGAGTTGGGGAGGGGCATGCGTGGAGAAGGGGGAGGAAGGGAAGGATTGGGAGGGGAGAATGGAGGGAACTATGGGGGGATACAAAGTAAATAAAGTATAATTAATAAAAATAAAACTAATAAAAAATAAAAACAAGGAAATCATGAAATTTGCAGGCATATGGTGGGATCTAGAGAAGATCATCCTGTGTGAAGTATCCCAGAAGCAGAAAGATTCACACAGTATATACTCATTTATATGTGGGTACTAGACCTATAAGATAGGATAGACATAGTAAAATGTGTACACCTAAAGAAGATAAACAAGAAAGAGGACCCTGGTGTAAAATGATCAATCATCACTTAGAAAGACAAATGAGATGGACATTGGAAGTAGGAGAAAACAAGCAACATGAAAGGAGCCTACCACAGACTCTACCTAGCAGTGTATCAAAGTAGATGTTGAGACGCATAACCAAACCTTTGGCAGAGTGTAGGCAAATATATGAAAGAAGGGGAGTTAGTATGACATGGAGAGGGCAGGAGCTCCACAAGGACCAAATATATCTGGGCACAGGGTTCTTTTATGAGACTGTATCTCCAAACAAGGACCATGTATGGATATAACCTAGAATCCCTGTTCAGGTCCATGGCAGCTCAGTATCCAAGTGGGTTTCCTAGTAAAGGGAACAGGGACTATTTTCTGACATGAACTCAATAGTTGATTCTTAGACTCCTCCCCCAAGGGAGGAGTAGCCTTGCTAGGACACAGAGGAGGACATTGCAGCCAGTCCTGAAGATACCTGATAAGCGAGGGTCAGATGGAAGGGGAGGAGAATCTCCCTATCAGTGGACTTGAAAAGGGGCAGGGAGGAGATGAGGGAGGGAGGGTTGCATTGGGAGGGAATGAGGCAGTTGGCTACATCTGGGTTACAAATTTAATAAACTCTAACTAATATTAAAAAAAAATTCAATTAAAATATAAACAGAAAAAAACAAAACAAAACAAAAAAGAACAAATGGAATGGAGTAGAGCCTTGAAAGCTCACATTCCAAGGAGGATGAAAAAAAAATTGAGAAAACGACAAATGGAAATCTGGAGAAAATTAATGAATCACTTAAAGAATACCAGGAAAAATAGTTGAAAGAAGTGCATAAAACTGCTAAAGACCTAAAAATGGTAATACAAGCAATAAAGAAAAACACAAATTGAGGGAAATCTGGAAATGAAATATGAAGTAGAGAAGAAAGTTTTAACAAAAGAATATGAGAGATAGAAGAGAGAATCTCAGTAAGAACATGATAGAAGAATTAGATATAGTGGTCAACAAAATATGAAATTTCTAAAACATTCTAAACATTCTCTAAAAATTAAAAAAATACAGAAAATCTAGGACACTATGAAAAAATTAGATTTTGAGTAATAGGAATTTAGAATCACAGCTCAAGGGTTCCAAAAATATTCTTAACAAAATAAGAGGAGAAAAATTTCCTAGCCTAAAGAAGAACACACCTGGAAATGTAAAGAAAGAATAAAGAACACCAAATAAAAGAACAGGAAATAAAGTTCCCTCACCACATGGTTATGAAAACACTAAACATACAAAACAAAGAAGGAATATTAAAAGCTGCAAGGGAAAAAATGGGCAAGTAATATACAAATGCAAACACATCAGAATTATACCCAACTTCTCAACAGTGACTCTGAAAGCTAGAAGGATCTAGGTAGATGTCTTGCAGCTCTTAAGAGACCACAAATGCCAACTTAGACTACTACACCCAGAAAAGCTCTCAATGACCATAGATGGAGAAAACAAGACATTCCCAGAAACAAAATAAAACAAAACAAACAAACAAACAAACAACAAAAACAAAACAATATCTATCCCCAAATCCAGCCCAACAGAAAATGCTAGAAGGAAAGTTCCAATCCGAAGAGGTTAACTATGCTTACAAAAACACATGAAAATAATAGTTTCAGACCAGCAAAGTTAAGACAATGGAAGCACACACAAACACACACACACACACACACACACACACACACACAATCATGAAAACCATCACCAACAATAAAATAAAAAGAATTAACAATCATTGGTCGTTCATACAGCCACTATGGAATTCAATATGGTAGTTCCTCAGAAAACTGAGGAAATAAATAAATAAATAAATCTAACTCAAGACCCAGCTATAGCATATTTATGCATATGACCAAGAGATGTTCCATCTTACTACAAGAATACTTATTCACTTATATTCATAGCAGCTTTATACATAATAGTCAGGAACTTGAAAGAATCTGGATGTTCCTTGACCAGGAATAGATAAAAAATTGTGGTACATTTACATGGTAGAATATTTCTCAGTGGTTAAAAAAATGACATTTACACTCAAATGGATGGAACTATAAAAAACATGCCAAGTGAGGTGACCAAGATCCAGAAAGATAGTGCATGTATTCTCTTATAAGTGGATATTAGCTACTAACTGAAGGATAATCCAAAAAGCAGGAGAGGCCTAGTTAACAATGAGAGCTCTAGGAGGAAAGCATGGATCTATCTTGGAGGCAGAAATAGAATAGATTTCATGGGTACACTGAAGTTAGATGGGAATGGACAGAGAGGGGAAAGGTGTCTGTGTGTGTGTATGGGGGTGGGGAGTATAGCCCAGAAACTAAGGATGGAACCTAGCATGGCTGGAAAAAAGTCAATAAACTGAATCCAAATGGTGTTCTACTGTACTCATAGATTGGTGCCCCTAGCCCAATCATCTGAAGAGAAGTTTCATGGAGCCATTGATGGAAACGAATGCAGAGACCCACAGACAAACGTTAGGTGTCTGTAGAATAGGGGAAAAGATGATTGTAGGAATCAACTAAGCAGTGCCTATAGGGGTTAAGGGAGACTGAAGTGGCAACCATAGAGATTGCATGATTATTTGCATATATGTTATTGCTGTGAGATTTGATGTTCTTGTGAGACTCCTAACAGTGGGAGTGAGGTTTGCTTTTGACCCTTTTGTTTCCTCTTGTAACACTTTCCTTCTACTGGGCTGTCTTTTCCAGTCTCAATATGAGGCTTTTTGCCTGCACTTGCTGTAACTTGTTACCAGTGTTTAGTTGATATCCCTGGGAAGCCTGCTCTTTTCCAAAGAGAAATGCAGGAGGAGTGGATCTAGAGGAGAGGGTAGGTGGGGGGCTCAGGGAGGAAAGTAACTCTAGTCAGGATGCAATGTATGAGAATAGAGTAAATTTCAGAAATGTAAATAAAAAAATACCAAGTCTTCTGCCTTAAACTTCAATGAACCAATTTCTGCTTTATTGTTTACTGAAGCAAAATTGTGACTGTCCTAATTAAACATGAGATTACTTTTCAATACTAAGGTACAATGATATTCAAGTTATTTACTCATTAGCAACAATTCTCAGAGAATTACTTCAGAAGAAACCAATCACCATATAACAAATACAATTTTGCTTATATTCCACTACAAGTACCAACTTACAAGAATTCACTTGAAAAAAATACACTACACTCATTTAAATATTACACAGATCTGCACATAGTTAAAGGGTTACTGTAACTTTAACATTGTGAACCTCTATTTTGTCACAGTTGTTAAATTGTTGCCTCCTGTCATTTTCATATCTAAAAACATGACATCAACATTATCACACATTACACACAGAAGAAATGAACTATAAAACCTAAAAAACAACACAGGAATAACTGTCATCATGTGCACAAGTTTCACAAATGGTGACCCATATTATTTACCTTAATCTTGGTAAAGTAACTATATTTCAACATAATTACCTATTCTAAATTTAAACATATATGAGCAATATAAATAAATCTAATATTAAGATATTCTGCTTCCTTATTCCAAAGTCAAAATTAGTTTTAAACTAATTGAAAATGTAGGTGAATAGTTTAAATACAGCTTATTTTAATTACTATGAATTTTATTTTTCCAAATTTATCTACTCTCTAAAATGAATCCATCTCCCTCAAATAAATACTCCTATTGCTTTAACAATTTTTGATGGAACACCTAGAATAATATGGAGTTCTAGGCACTGATTGCTCTAGCTCCAGTTAAGGTCAAACCTAGAAGCCAACTGGACAGTTCAAGATATATTTCTCCAAGAAAACTAAGTTTTCACACTTAGTGTCTGTAGCTATTTCTCTTAGAAAAAATTATGATGCACAATAAATATCCACTGTATTAAATCAAGTGAATATTTTCACAAATAGAAACACTGAAAATACATTTGAAAAAGTACACATAATGCGAAGTACACATACTTTAAAAATAAAAGCTATTTTCCAATTCTCTAGGTACCAAGTTTCCTTTGGCATTAATTTCTTAGAACTTTAACCTATACATGTATGAGTATAAAATCAAAGCCACTTACTTGGAGAGCATAACACCTTTTGAAGATCCAGTTACATGTGACGGCAAATACATAAGTGTTGTGGACTCCACAAGAATGACACTGAAATTAATACAAAAATTTATTTCCAATTGCAATGTAACAAAATTCAGAGGGTAACAAACTGTTCTTTTCAATTTCCTTATTATCTACAATCTCTATTCAGAGTGTTCTTGTGTTCTCATTCTGCTATAACTGAGTTATATTAGTTATATCTCATTCTAATATAACTCAGATATATTAGAAAAAAGGGAAATATCTCAAATAGAAATATCTGAAATATAGGAAAGTAATTAAATACACATACAGGCACACACACACATACACACACACACACACACAAAGCAATGTGCTTTGAACCTGAAATATCCCTCACAACACTGTGCTTTGAAACTTTATTCACCAGCTGATTGTTATATTTTGATAGACTACTGCATCTTTAGAAGAAAATTCCTAGAATGTAGAAGCAGACCACCAGAGACAGGCTTTAGAATATCATAACCCAGTCCAAGGCTTCTTTCTAGCTCTCTGCTTTTAGGTACAGTCTGATGTTAACTTCTTGTCTCTACCATATAGAACTGCTATGTTGTAACTCATGGATTGAAATGATATGAAACCATAACCACAAAGAATCTATTCTTCCCTTCAGAGTTGTTCAGGTATTTCTCACAAAGAAGTAAAAAACAAAAATGATTACAAACAACAATACTGGATACTGAATTATTGCAAAGAACTTTACTTTATGAATGAATTCAAACTATATTCTAGAAAAGTGAAATCACACAATAGACTTAATAAATAGCTAGTGCTATACACATCATCTGTATTCATGTTTATGAATAAGATTGAAAATTTTCAGGAGATGGTATGGGATACATGTAGTTAATAGACAATGTAAAAAGCTGGCAAGATCTGAAGCCTGGTTTTCCTTGGCTATGATGTAGCCATTCCATAAGGTCGCTCAGTGGGGCCATATGAAACTTGAAACAACATGAAGGACCAGGCAGATACATCGTGATCATTGCCAGACACTGAAACAATCTTTATTACAATTTATTCACTTTGTATCCAGCTCTAGTCCTTTCCCTCCATTCCTCCCAATTCTGTCCTCCCTCCCTCTTCTCCTCCCATGCCCCTCTCCAAGTCCACTGATAGTGGAGGAACTCCTCCCCTTTCATCTGACCCTAGACTATCAGGTCTCATCAGGACTGTCTGCATTGTCTTCTTCTGTGGCCTGGTAAGGCTGGCCCCAACTCAGGGGGAGGTGATCAAAAAGCCAGGCACTGAATTCTTGTCAGAGACAGCCCCTGTTCCCTTTACTATGGAACCCACTTGGAGACTGAGCTGCATGGGCTACATCTGTGCAGAGGTCCTAGGATCTCTCCATACATGATCCTTGGTTGGAGTATCAGTTTCAGAAATTCATCAACATCCATGAAACTCTAGTGAATTAATTTAAAGGTAGGGTAAAACTTAAAGCTTTTAAAATTTTGTTTTCTTCCTGTTGCTATTGTTTTTCTTGTTGTTGTTGTTGTTGTTCTCCTCCTCCTCCTCCTCCTCCTCCTCCTCCTCCTCCTCCTCCTCCTGTGTCTGTGTCTGTGTCTACATCTGCTTCTGCTTCTTCCTTGCTTTTTATAAGCTCTCTTTGGCTTCTTGGTTTAAGTTGAGTTCATTCCCTTGGATTATGTCTGAAAATTATGGTTACCAAGTCTTATTTGTCTATGACAATATTGTATTATGATGTGTATTTCTTATCAAAACTCCAAGAGAAGAAAGGATTAGTGGAAAGGTTTTTACATGGCAATATCTGTGTTTGCGATATGCCTGGGGTTGGAAGAGTAGACATAAAATTAATTTAAGTAAGTTTAAGGTGGAAAAGAGAATCAACACAAAATATTATGGATATATGAAAAAAATACTTTTTCAACTAAAACAAAACCTGAATTTATCTAGAAAATGTATGAAAAGATTTGGTATATCTCTGAGCAACTCCAGTCCCTTGCACCAAAGACACAATGTTAAGGGGATCATAAGTTCAAGACTATTGAGTTCTACATAGCAAAACCCTATCTCAAACAAGCAAACAAGAAAAAAAAAATCACAAGACATAAAATTCACAGAAAAGGTAACTACAATGGTTAGTATATAAAATGAATGTTATATATTATTTTAGCAAACTTTTACTGTTCTTTCTCAAAATTCAGGGATCTATAATGAATATAAAATGAATAATTTTTTTATACATTATATGATTCCCAGCCCAGATCTCAGGCTGCATACCCTGAGGCTCACAGCCATCCAGGACAAACAGGTGAGACCTCAATTTCCTACCTCCCTGCTTGCTGGGGTCTCTGGGCAAATCCAACAGTTGTGAACTGGCTCATGCTCCCTACCCTATGCATACTCAATCTCCTGAACTGTAGCCCTACCTGTACTCAAAGAGTCCAATAACCATTGAGGACCACCAGACGCCTCTGGCCATCAGAGACCACCAACTCAGCCTACATCACTGGAAGCCTGTTTCTGCTCAGGACTGAAAGCACCCTATGGCCATCAGGACCACAAGAGATAATTCAGACATGCTCCCTGGCACTCCATTTTCAGGTCCACAACTTGGACTCCATTACCTGAGGCTGGCCAATATGAGAGAAAATTAGATAGCTAAGGGTTAGCTTAAGAGCAGGAACATCAAGAGCCAGAACAGCATGGTACCACCAAAACCCAGCTATCATACTACAGCAAACCCAGGATATCATTCCCCACCTGAAAAACAATAAAATGACCTTAAATCCAATGGTATGAAGATGATAGCAGCATTTAAAGAAAACAATGAATAAATTCCGTAAAGAAACAAAGGAAAATACATCAAAAACTTAGAGGCCTTTAAAGAGGAAACTAATAAATCCCTTAAAGAAACACAGGAAAGTCCAATGAAACAGATGAAAGAAATGACTGAAACTGTTCAAGAAAATAGAAATAGAAGCAATAAAGAAAATACAAATTGAGGGAATCCTGGAGATGGAAAACATAGGGAAGAAAATTGGAACAAACACAAATATCATCAACAGAATTCAAGAGATGGAAGAGAGAATCTCAGGCACAGAAGGTAGTATAGAAGTATAGTATAGAATTAATACATCAAAGAAAATATTAATCTAACATATTCCTGACATAAAACACCCCAGGAATCTAGGATACTATGAAAAGGTCTAACACACAAATAACAGGAAAAGAAGAAGGTGAAGAGACCCAGCTCCAAGTACCAGGAAATATTTTTTAATATATTTTTTCATTTATTACAATTTATTTAATTTGTATCCCCCATCCTCATCCATCCCAGTTCCTCCTTCCCTCCCTCCATCCCTCAACTCCTCCCATGCAACTTCCCCATGCCCCTTCCATCTGACACTAGCCTATCTAATCTCATCGAGACTGTCTTTCATAGTCTTTCTCTGTGGCCTGGTAAGGCTGCCCCCACTAAGGGCAAGGTGACCAAAGAGTCAGCCACTGAGTTCATGTCAGAGGCAGTCTCTGTTCCCCTTGCTAGGGAGCCCATTTGGAGACTGAGCTGCCATGGGCTACATCTCCATGAATGGTCCTTGGATGGAGTATGAGTCTCAGAAAAGATCCCTGGTCCCAGATTTTTTAGTTCTGGTGTTCTCCTTGTGGAGCTCCAGACCCTTTCAGGTCTTTTTATCTCCCCCTACTTTCAGAAGATTCCCTGCACTCTGCCCAAAGTGTGGCTATAATTCTCAGCATCTGCTTTAATACCCTGCTGGATGGAGTCTTTCAGAGGCCCTCTGCAGTAAGCTCCTGTCTTGTTCCTTGTTTTCACCTTCTTCCCATGTCTATCCTAATTGCCTTTATGAATGAAGATTGAGCATCTTACCCATGGTCCTCCTTCTTGCTTATCTTCTTTAGGTGTACAGATGTGAGTATGATTATCCTATATTATATGTCTAATATCCAATTATAAGTGAGTACATACCATATCTGTCTCTCTGCTTCTGGGATGCTTCACTCAGGATTTTCCCCTGCAAATTTTATGATTTTCTTGTTTTTAATTGCTGAGTAATATTCCATTGTGTAAATGTACCACAATTTCTATATCCATTCTGGTTATTATGAATAAAGCTGCTACAAACATGGTTGAGCAAATGTCTTTGTTGTGTACTTGAGCATATTTTGAATATATGCCTAGGAGTGATATACCTGGATTTTGAGGTAGCACTATTCCTAATTGTCTGAGAAAGGGCCAGATTGATTTTTAAAGTGGTTGTACAAGTTTAGATTTCAACCAGAAATGGAGAAGGGTTTTACTTTCTCCACATCCTCTCTAGCATGTGTTGTCACTTGAGTTTTTTATTTTTGCCATACTAGAAAATATTTTCATCAAAATCATAGAATAAAATTTCTCCAACCTAAAAAAAAGTGTTGCCTATACACATACAATAATCATAGCAAACAATAATTACATTGGACAATTAAAGAAAACCCTCCCACCACATAATATTCAAAACACGAAATCTATGGAACAAGAAAAGTATATTAAATGCTGAAAGAGAAAAGACCAAGTAAATTACAAAGGCGTATGTATGAGAATTACATTAGAATTCTTGGCAGAGACTCTAAAAATTAAAGGAAACTGGTCAGATGTCTTACAATCTCTAAAAGACCACCAATGCCAACCTAGAATACTATACCAAGAAAAACCCTCAGTCACCATAGATGGATAAAACAAGATATACCAAGAGAAAACCAAATTTAAGAATTATATATCCACAAATCCAGCCCTACAAAAAATACTAGATAGAAAGCTCCAACCCAAGGAGTAACCCAAGGAGTACATTCAAGAAATTAAAAAACAGAAAATAAATAATTCCACACCAGCAAGAAACAAAGCAAGGGGAGCACATCTCACACCACACCACACACACACACACACACACACACACACACACACACACACACCAGCATCACAAACATCAAAATAACAGGAATTAACAATCATTGTTAATTAATATCTCTAAATATCAATGGACTCAATACACCAGTAAAAAGAC